AAGGGTATGCTACTTAAGTAGTCACTTTTTCAGTGTATAGTTTTCGTATGCAGCCGGAAAAAGTTCATTTGAAAGCCTACATCCTGAGATAACTGGATTATTATAGAATTATACTACAGACTGGCTAGTTTTACAACCCTACTTAATTAAGCTTCTGGAAACGGGAACGCATTTCGAAATTTCGGCTGACATTTCATGAATCAGCCCACCTTCTGTACGGTCGATGTGGTCGAATCTTCGTCGAAATCGAAGGTCGAACTGCCGAGATTGTCTGACAGAGCGTCCCCCTCACACAAAGGATGCAAGGCATTAGAAAGTGATGAATGAGCCAAATGTCTGGCCTAGTATCGGGTGAAGTGAGAGGTTATCACTGGTTGATTTTCAGACAAGTAGCATTCTGCATGTGAACTAGTTCCCGTCCATACTGAAAGTGATAATGGGGCCCAACTTAATCCCCTGCGTTTTACTCTTCGCGTTAAAACTCGCACATCCGCAAGTCGTTCTAGCTCGAAAAAATGGCGTTAATGAGATGGGGGAAAGAAGTGCTGTTGAAAATAGCAACGTGAACTAATCATCCACCAAAATTGTCCGGTGTGGATCAGGCCGTTCCCGCTCTGTTTGTGTAAGTGAAAATAGAAACCTTTATACGGAGGACCTGAGTTTGTCAGTTGTCTATCTACGGTCATTGGTGCTGGGTGGTCGCAGGCAGTGTGGCCGATTACCGATACATGCGAAGTGTGGCGGATGTTTCGCTCAAGTTACCACTCCTCTCCCGGCATAATGGCCGGCCTTGTCAGCGCGAACAAACCATCCCAAAGAAAACTTACTCGCCTGAAGTCAAGACATGACCTCCTAACGACGACAGGATTTCCCACCGGCCTGCGCCGGACGTCACACTGCTGCCGGTTTTTTTTGCGGCCCTTTGTCCCAGGTGAGGCGTCGTCTTAATTTGTACGTGCTTTCCGTAACCTACTATTGAAGACAGTAGTGTGTGCCCAGACGACTTCCTCCACTGTCCCTTTTCCCGTCCATGCATTTGAAATAAACTACTCGTGTCACTAGTTCCATTCGGCTCTTCTCTTCCGTTCCTCTCCTAGGCTACGCCCTGGTCGAGCCGCCGGGTGTCATGTCTGAAAAATCCGTCTTCGGCATCAGACAGGATGTTAACCCAGCCTCGCTGAAAACATACACTGTAAGTTATATAAATCACCCTGCCCCCCCCTCCCTCGCCCGCCATTCGTCCTCCTAACTATCTCCGTCTCCCCTCCCTGCCGTTCTTTTTTTCAGGATGCCGTCAAGCTCTCTAGGACCGGGGTCTGCTCCGTCCCATACGAGTCCTTCCTCACTTATGTGCACACAGTCAGGGAGAAGGGTCGCCTGGGTTGTTGAATTTTCTTAATCACCGACACTGCGCTGTCCGTCTGCCCGGTTTTCTCCTCGTCTGTGGACTGGTTCTGACGACTGTTTACATGCCCCGTCTTTCTCTTTATTCCTACCATTGTCTTGATTTGAAACATGTCAGCTATGCATGCGTTTAATTTTGGTTTGTCCACCTACCTGCGTCATGTTGGAGAAGATAGATGGGAGGGCGTGCGAGGGTTACCCATGCCAGAACTTAAAAAATACCCATCACTGTCGCCCTAGCAACGCCGACCCCTCGTTGATGGAGTCGTCAGTTACTGTCGCCGAATCAACGCAACAGTCCCTTCTGTCAGGTTGAAAATTCGACTGGTTTTCACCAAGTTTCAGTGTTCCCCGATTCGCCGCCAAATACCGGTGGATGGGACACCCTTGTCGGGCAACATTTCTGTTGTTCTGTCGTCCCGGGGCGTCCTAGTGTGGAACTCACCACGAAACGAATGTGACGCGATTTCTGGGAGGCAGAACCAGGCGACTGAGACAGGCACGTGTTAGATCTAATCTCTCAGATTGTCGTCACCCCGTTATCAGCTCGTCATCAAAGTACTGCATGAGGGTGAAAAGTTGGCGGCTCAAGTTAAGATTCTTTACGTCCCCTTCGCCGTGCGGACAAGTCGGGTTCTTTATAACCCGAATTGTCACGCGAGAAGGAAACTACCTCAGCGACTGGTCTGCTCGGAAATTGACGATACCACTGCTCCGTGTTGCACTACGTCTATACCGCCTAAGGCATGTATAGAGAGCGCGCGTTGTTCGAGGACCTAGGGGGATGAAGTAGAGCTTCAGCGTCCTGTGTCGAAGTGAGGCCGCGGTTGGGGAGTCTCGCGGATGCCATGCCAGTATTCGCCGTATCGGACACCGCCGAGCCGTTTGCCTGTGCGCAACCCCCGCTTTCCCACAGAACTGAGATCATGATAGCCCCGAAGATAGTGGGAGGGGCTCACCGATCGCGTTGCGGAACCCACTCGTCCCATCCTGCCTCTAGGGCTCTTGAGTCCCGCCAGCAGCCGCAATGGAGGCGGGGTGGCATTGCCGACGAAGACAAGGGAGACTGGAATGGCCGTCTCTGGCTTATTGGCCGCCAACAGCCAGTCGTACCTAACTCCGAAGCGTGGGACCCCTGAAGTCCGATCTCACGGTCTGTTGTCTAGGGGTCCAACGGCCTGACCACTGAGCCACGGAGTTAGTTCCGTAGAAGCAGTATGAAACCGACCCAGAGCGACTGTCCCACCAGTCGTCTTGGCGTTGTTATGCCATCTGGACAGGGGGTAGGTGGATGCAGAGCAACTCACCATTGTGCCCAGAGGACGGTGGGGTTGTCCTCGTCATTTGCAACGGACGAACTGTCGTGGCCCGGGCGCCTCGTTATCACTTGCTTATCTTAAGTTAGACAGGTGGCTAACACTCCTGCTGCGGACGATCGGTTCGGGTTCAGTCACAACCGTATAGGCTATTATCACAGGAAAGGAGCGGAATGCCAAACGGTAATGGCCGACTTTTAGCCCTTACCGTGTGTGCGGGGCGTAAGTGGTGTCGTAGTTGAGAGGAAAGAGTGCGGCGGACGCCGCGTAAGTTCGCCTCATTATAAAATAAACCACGCGTCGGTCGGCGGTTCATACGGTAGACATCGAGATTCGCGATGGCCGAACTGCTGCTCGCAACTCGGCGTATACCGAGCATCCGCCCGGTTGGTTTTGTACGGCAAGGAATGGCGGGCTGTGGGCGTGGGAAAACAGCAAAAAATGGAGGCAGCAGAGCACCGCCGTCTAACGAAGATCCTTTGAGCGAAGTGCACCGAGCTCGCCCCAAGTACGCCAGCACGCACTCGATACGACATCGCAAGGGAGGCCTCGAGCCATTCAAAAAGACGACTGTGGGAGTTTCGGTATGTTTGTCGTTCGCCCTGGTTTGCTGTCCCGATCCCGCGCTGTTGCCCGCCAGGAAGCGAAGGCAAACGGATCAACTCTGAAACTCGCTCGGTGCAGTTCGCCATAACAAGGAGACGGTTTCTGGACCTGCATTCAGTCTCCCCCATTGGAGATAATATGTCCTGTTCTCCGGATCCACTGTCGAGGATCATAACGCACGAAAAGGCACAATTTGCGGCATCGAGGCCGACTAGATCAGACATGATCCCGACTGTGCTTCGTACTCGTAAGTAATTTGATTATTATTCAGCACCAGTGGGAGTCATGATGCTACATCCCATGCCTTCTGTAACGTCCAACGCCCCCGCGGAAGTGACTCCTCATGTGGTAGTGCCAGATAATTTGAATGTTTGCCATAAGGTCGCCCACGGATAAAGAACAGAATTCAGTGAGAAATAAGATTTATAAAGTTGGCTTTATACACGTTGGTCAGGATGCTTTTATTGGCTAGGGGGGAAGGGCGGGTGAGGACCTCGGTTGGCTGTACAGACTCGAATTACTATCGGAAGGCAGTGATGTGAGGTATTAAGAACTGCCCAGCAGTTCTTTAATGCGATCCCAACTGGTGAAGCCAGCTATCGCCAGGCCAACAGTGAGCCCAACGAGCCCGCCACGCGCGCAACTTCGCCATCCTCCGGGGCTGAAAAGGCCTGAAAAAGGAGAAATGAAATAAATCAAATTTGAGCTCGACCAACCAGATGCACCGTCAGAGTTCAAACCAACGTCTGAAAGGAGTACAACATGGCTAAGCCCCTAAGTTCTGTGCTAATTTTGAAGGATAGCCGGTCAGCCAAAAGGAGCTCGGTTGAAAGCTCTTGCCGTAGCAAGACCGGGTGTTTCTTACGTTCAAAGCCTCATTTAAAGGTGTCATCTAAACGGCAGTAAAGTGTGAGAAAAACTACGCGGAGATTGCATGGCAATCAGTGACAACTAGCCCGCTTTAAGTCTGTGTTTGACAGTCAGAGGATCGTACTTGCATCCCAGTGGCCAAATCCGTCTACTGCTGTCTCACAACAGTGAAACTACCTCTTGCACATCGGGTAGACGAATTTACAGTTTCCTGCACGCATGCCTGACCCAAAGTCATGAATGAAGAAACGTACGCTAAAGCCTCAAAATGCTCGAGACGACTGTTTGGTGGTTTTTCATGTGTCCTTGGAGGCAGGGGTCGCAAAATGGACTGCGCAGTTCTCCTGGCCCTAAACATGAATCAAATAGACTTTCGGTGGAAACCCTGCACCACGTCAGCCATTGTGTGTAGCACTATCTCTGGTTGGCTTGGCTCAGACATGTCAATAGCATTTGATTGGAAAGAAGAAGAGTGGGCTAGACCGCAACAATCTTCCACTCGCCGTTCCACAATGGCTTGAAGGTCGCAGGTTGAAATGCTGTCGATTGACGAAATAGCGGGATTGTACACTGGACGGCAATGGTCTCGCATTTCAGCGAGAGGTCACGGGCTTCTTCCCAAAGGTCTGGTTCGTGTGCATGTGTGTGACACAAGCAGAAGATCGAGGTGGTAGTGTCAAAGACAACTGACATGTTGGAGGATTTTATCATCTAAATAAGCTCGGACCATTTAATGTAAGGGGAACGGCAACCGCAGGAGAGCACGTTTATAGGATGACAATGTCAGAGTTACATTTCACTGTCACGCTCGTTGGACACGTTCCCAATCGTCCCCTCAAGCCGGTGATAATGAAGACATTGCCATCTTTCGAAGTACAGGAACACGGTTGTCGCGGTTTCACGACATTAAAAACAGGTATCCTGAGGGCGGAAAAGTTTTGCTGGTTTCGGCGCCATGCACCGATTTGTTATCATGAACACACCCATGAAACCCTCAACTTACTGGTGTAGTCAGGCAGGCCCTAAGATCATCGTTTGAATGTCAGGTTAGCCAATGCCCACGGCGCCGCTCAGATTGCGCCGATGGCAGATAGTCGGTTCGGATCAGAAAAGCCTGACGTTACTCCATCATTGTCAGTGAGAACCAAGACGGAGATAAACAATGAAGTGATTGTCCAGAAAGTTACTGTCAAGTCTGGTAGTTCCAGACCCCAGCAACTATCTAAAGATCATGGCAAGAGGGTCCTCCAACCATTTATTGCAGCTGCGAGCAAATTTCTTCATCGAGCTAGTCAACAGTTCGTGTTAACATACAGAAATAAACGACAAAGGTATTGGTAAAGTGCACCTTAACTCGTGCGAAAGGTAGTCGGTCACCGGCGGATTCCCATGAAAGCAGGCTTGCCTGTTACGATAGACCCGTCGCGACTCCGTGTCTGCCGTCGTGAAGTGGAAGTTGACTCCTGCACTCAACGTCCAGTACCAGGTGGCAGTCCGCCTAGCCTGCTGTCCATCGATATTCTTGAAATAGATCACGGGTGATCACACGGACGCCGAAACATAGATCGTGACATTTTCAGACATATTACGCACAAGGCTTCCAAGGGATTTTAAGGGCGCATAGGCCCCCACTAACCACTCGGATTGCTTGTTCGCGGCTGTTTTATCTGGGGTTTGGCTCAAGAATCTGATCATAAGGCAATAGTTTATAACCCTCGTATTGTGATGCCGATACACCAAATAAATGAAACGGATGATATCTTGGCGAAAAAAGTATGGGAGCCGCAGGCAGATTAGAAAGCTGAGAATCAAATTTAAAACTCGCTTTGAATCAGAACGTGTGGATGGAGTAGCTGGTAATTTCACAAAGCAAATTAGACCCTCTATTGTGATTGATCGGCATAGAAACAGCCTAATATGAACCGCATAGTCAAGGTGCGCAAAAAAAGGCGCCCTGCGCGAGGACAGAAAACCACATCGACAGGAGATCTTCGGCTCAGAAGAATAGGATCCAAAGACCGATGGTAGCAGGCGACTTCAGATGGAACGCTAGATCGCGGGAGAATTTTCTAATAGTGACTTGTGTCTACGTCAGACCGTTGGTTTAAAGACTGAGGACCTTTTCCCAATGAATGGTTTCCCATCGCCCTCTTTTATCTGACTAGCTCCATCCCGCAGCTACGGCATGTCTTTTGCGACCAACGAGCTTGGATGATAACATAATCCACAGAGAAGACGTCAGATAAGCTATGGTATACAAGAAGGATAGCAAAATCCCCAAGCGATGATTTTAGAGATCATTCCGACCCCGAACTGAAATAGATTTTGACCTGATCCTACCCTCCCTGAGATAATGAAAAACCAAATGGATCAGTTTGACGACCGTCACGTTGCAGGCTTAGTAGAAGCCTCTGTCAAGATTTTCATCATTAATCCCAGAGCAAACTTTCGACGGTCCCAAATAACAGAACGCAGCTAAATCAGGTTGGTTTGTAAGAGGGGACATGGCCTTTCGATCATCCCCTTACGATTTCATGTCTCTTCTGGTCTTACCCCTCTCACGAGCAGCTCCGGTTTGCCTAGTGTACCAGTTTTACAATGACGTTCAACTGTCTCTGGCAAAAGATGCGTCTTTGCATACGAGTGTTGAAATTAGAGAGGTCGAGGGAAGAGAAACAGGTGAAATGAAACGTACACACAGGAAAAGGGTGTGAGGAGAACAGACGGCAAAGACGATCGATGCCCTGAAAGTTTCATTCCAAGTGTGCTTAACTGTAGTCATAATAGACAAAACAGGCATGCAGGGCAGGAATCTTCCACGGCTCAACTGTGATAATTGATTTGTCGAATCCAATTGGAAACGTAATGACGTCCCAACTCCCACCACCCATATTAACTCACGATAAAGTAGTATGAGCAAGAAAATGCATAACCGCTTCCTAATAGCTTCAGTCCACTCAAACGAAATGGGAGCACAAAAGTAAGCCTTTTCGACAAGTGGATCAAATAGGACAACTACCCAATGTTCCATAAATTATATACCAGGAAGTGTGGTCCATGTGGCTTTTACTTCAAGTGGTGTGAAAGGTACGCTACAGTCTCGAGCTCACTCAGATGACCAAGTTCATCTTAAGCATCAAACATTATGCTGCTACTGGTATGCGGTTTTAGAGAGCTTCTAGCGGACGGAAGCAACTAACCTGGAGATCGGTAAAGCAATCCAGTTGTGGTAGCAGAAGCGACAGTGTTTATTTCATCATCGGCACCACCACGCAATTTATGAATAGAAAAATCTGCCAACGCGTATATCAGACCGATGCTGCCAGTCGTCTGCGCCCAGGAACCACCAGATTTAGTCACGTGATTCAGTATTTGCGTGCGCTGGAGCGCGCGGGAAGGCAGTTTCTTTATGTCCGGATCGTTAATGGCGTTGTAGAAGGCCCTCGAACAACCGAAGGCGGCGCCTAAAGGATAAAAGTCCACTATAAAAGGTACTACCGCCAATGACCATAGAACCGATTTCCGAGAATGACCTTTCGAAACGACCTCGATGCTTCTCTCCGTCGGGGAATATGAACTGGTCAGATGGGTCCTATTAAGGAATGTGTGTGAAAGTAAAGAATACGGAAGTACATTAACAAGGAGAGATGGGTCTATATTCAGAAACGGAGATATAAAAAGATCGTTGTCGCCCGACATCCTCGAGGGCCCGGTACCTCGGCTAAAAGTAAAGAAGGCGGCAAAAACATCACACCAGTCGAAGAAATCAATTGATGCACGGGCTGATAGAGGTCAGCGGATTTACTTGGGCCTGGAAATGCTTCAGTCTCCACTTAGTCAGAAACATAACAGCAGGTCTCTTCCAGCCTATATTCTTATATTCTTTCAGAATGTGTACGAATATTAAATTAAACGTAAGTAGTAGAATGATAGCCGAAAACCTGAAAAAGTTATAGGTAAGACAACCGGAATACAAGTGAATCAAGGCAGTTAAAGATTATGCAACGAAGAATTCGCCATCCAAACCCTGGGATGAAGATGAGAATCGAAAAACACAGAACAGACATATTGACAAAACCCGAAAGAGCATTGAGAATCGAAGATGCGGAAGGAGGACAGAGCAAATAAAATGCGCATAATGTGAAGTAAACAAGTACAATGAGGACAATAGATGCCATAAATAATCAACAGCATTACTTAGCTAAAAATGATATCAAAACTCTTATCTACATAGATCAGAAGCTAGTCTGTAATATTCTCGCGATGAGACGCGGCCTTCGCATGCAGACTCATGGTGTGGTTTGTACCTAACTTTATGCAGATCTGTTCTCTGTTTATTTCGACAAGGATAAAATCGTTCAATAAGCCGCCTGTGGGAGCCAGGGTGAACCCTTTACGGCACTCTGGAGAATAAGTACGTTCTTAAATTAAGGTTTTGAACAGTCTCAGTGTATGCAATGAAGATTACACGCATGACACCACTTGAAAAACAAACCATGTTTAGCATTCTTTATTTCTCGGATGACGTCGTCCGCCTCCACATAGTGTGTGCGCTACCGCTCTGGTATGGCGCAGAAGGGTCCCTCCCAGCACCAGTCACGCGTGCCACTTCGCAGCACAGCCTAGCGAGGGGGCTATGATGGGGCTGTGAGGGGACTGCGAAGGGGCCGGAGAAGAGGTACGAAGGGGGTAATTGCGGGGCGGATCCCCGTTGTTGCCGCCTCGTGCCCCCTCATCCAGAGAAAATGCGGAGGGGGACGCCTGATCTCTGTCACTTTTGCCCCCCTTTCAGGTACCGACTTTCCCAGCATGCCTTGCCTTATCAGACCGTCTTTCGTTACTGCGATGCCCGGAACCTCTTATTTTTAGCGTTCTAGTCCTGATCCCTCGATACCGATTTTCCTCGCGATCCATGCTATATCATAGATGCATGCATTCCTGCGAAGCCCTGAGCGCTTTAGTTTTCTCGTTTTAGTCCAGTTCTAACTTTCCAACGCCAATTTTCCGCGCAGTCCTTGTCATGTCAGACCTTCATGCGTTACTGCGAAGCTCTGAACGAACCATATTATCAGGACACGTTAACGCCAGTTAATAGTTGTAGAAAATTTATTACGCGAAAAAGATAAGACTACTATGCACAATAATTCATGCGTTGTCACTGTTCCTATTGAGCATGATCGTCCTTATCGGTAGCGGATTCCTACAAGAAAGGAAAGCAGGATGCATCAATAATTTGACAGTGAAAAATCATGCTACTGTAATGTTTATTTTAGTAGCATATTTCACAGTGAAAGGCTGTATGAAGTTAAGCAGTCAGAATATAAGCAGGTTTTAAAAATATAAGCAAAGGCGTACTTACAGTGTCTTCGTA